TCCCCCCCCCCCCGGGGGGCCACTCTCCCCTGCTATCTGTCTGTCCTCCCTGGCCCTACTCCTGTCCTTTCCCTGGACGCCCCCATCTGTCCAGCAGTCTTTTGACACCCTACCGATCCTTTGCCTGGAAACTGTGCCCTCCTCAGCCCTGTCCGTCTGTCCGACTTCCCACCCCCACCGGCATGTGCAGCCCCTGGCTGGCTGTCTCCCCTACTCTCCCTCGTGGCTGGCTGGCTGTCCTGCCTGAACTCAGCCCCCTGCCTTTATCCTTCCACTACATTCCAGGACCCTCAGGGTCTGTCCTCTCTCTCGGGTGGGGAGGTGGGGCAAGGGAGGGGGTGGGGATGCCCTCCGTCTGCACCCCTCCCCCCGCAGATGTGACTCCCCCATTCCCTCTGCTCCCCCACCATGGCCAGGGCACTTCCCAGCCTGGTTCCAGCCCCGGTTCCCTGCCCCCTTCAGCCCCCAGTGCTCCCTGCTCTCCTACTCCCCCCCCTGCTCTCTTTAACACCCTCTCCCTCCCTCCCTGCCTGCTCCCCACGCCTGGGCAATGGATTAGACCCAGGTCCTGCCCTCAGGGAGCCTTGAGCCCCTAGAGGATCTCCTGGGTAGTCAGATTGTGCCAGGGGACACAGCGGGTAGGGTGGGCTCTGCTCTGGGTGCCACAGAGCTGAGTGGGGCTGGGAGCTTGTCCGCAGCGAGCTCCTGGTGGAATCTTTGGGAGGGGGTGGGGAAGTATCTTTGGGAGGGGGTGGGGAGGTATGCTGCAGGGTTAAGAACACAGACCCACACCCGCTTCCAATGCTAACTAGCTGTGTAAAAGCGGGCAAGTGACTTCTGTGCCTCAGTTTCCTCACTGGTAAAATGAGAATGACACTTAAAATAGTACCTATCTGGTAGGGCTGTTGTGAGAACGGAATGAGTTCATCGGCGTATAGAATTTAGTATAGAGTTTAGGCCAGTGCTTGCACCAAGCAAGTACCATTAAAGTGCCAATTATCATGACTGTTGTAATTGTGCTTGGACTGCGCCCCATTCAACCTCCTCCACCCCCGCCCCCCACAGCCCCCTTCTGCTCTCGAGGTTTGGGGATGTTAGGGGGGGCGTGGGTTAGGGAGATGGAATCTTGGGGTGAGGGGGTCACCTTACACTCATTCTGGTTTCAACCTCTGTCACCTCTCGTGCTGTCAGCTGAGGCATCTTTAAAGGTGTTAAAGGCAATCTTTTTTTTTTTGTAGCGTATTGTGGGGGTACAAGTGTTAAGGTTACATATATTGCCCATGTCCCCTCCCCCCCTGTTAAAGGAAGCATTAACCCTCATGGGGGGGTCCTCTTGCTCCTTGGGGGTTTAAAGAATCTAGTGGATATTACAGACCCCAGAAGTATTCTCTCTCCTTCATGGGTAATAAATTCAGTCCTTTGGGTGTTACAGGCTGGTGATGGTGATCTCTCTCTCTCTCTCTCTCTCTCTCTCTCTCTCTCTCTCTCTCACCTAGGGGGCATTAAACACCCTGAGGGTGTCATCTCTCAGTGGGGTATTAACTACAGCCTTCTGCTACTGCAGCCTCCCTGGGGATGTTAACTACAGCGTAATGATCCCCCTCCTGCTAGCGGCTTCCTCCAGTCCAGCGGGCGTTGGCGATACTGCTCAGGAGCGAACCTGCAGCCCTGCCCGCCTCGGGGATGCTCTCGCTCTTACTGAGTGCCAGCCAAGTGCCTTCCACGGCGGCACTGCACACTCGGACATCTGACTTCTCCTGAATCCTCACCCCCCCACACCCTGGGGCTCAGAGAGGGGATGTAAATTGGCCAAAAGGCACAGCCCCAAAGGCTTTACAGGAGTCAGGAAGGTGCCCCCGGGGAGGAGCAGGCTGGAGGTGCTCTCTACAGTCAGATGGTGCTGTTCCCACGGGCGTGGCGTGCAGTGCAATGGGTCCTGGTCCCCCAAGGGCATCAGAGGGGGGTCCTGCACACCCTCTAATTTGGCCATTATAAGCCCCTCTAAGGTGTTATATACGGTCTAATGGGTGTTTCTGACACTCTGGGATGTTATTCTGTCTCCTAGAGACGGGAGTTTTAGAGACTAAAGAGTGTTACAGCCCTCCTGACTGACGTATTTGCTGGCTTGTGGGTGTCCCTAACATTCCAAAGATGTTCTATTTTCCCGAAGGGTGTTGTGTACAGTGTGATAAACTGTATCTTCCCAGAGGGTGTTCCATCTTACTGAAGGGTGTTACCCACAGTCAATTGAGTTCTTTCTGCTCAGGTGTTGTGAGTGTTTAGTGGTCATGGAATGCCTTCCAGCCGGTGTTCTTGATGCCTTGTGGTGTTCTAACTCTTTTGAAGGCTGTAACCTACAGGCCAAAGAGTTGTATCTACCCAGAAGGTGTCATCTTTCTCCCAAATGGTGATTGTGCAGAGGAGGGAATCCTGCCCCATAAAGGGTGTTCCAGAACCTTTTCCCTGGCATTCAGAGCCAAACACTGGGAAGGCACTGGGGGAATGTTAAAGACATTCAAAAGATATGAGTCTGGAAGACTGGCTAGTTGGTGAGCTGTCTTCAAGGAGGCTGTGTATAGCCCAGGGGCTGTTGTAGACATCAGGGGATTATGGCTGTCCTGGGAGAGCTTTTTTTTTTTTTGAGACAGAGTCTCACTTTGTTGCCCAGGCTAGAGTGAGTGCCATGGCATCAGCCTAGCTCACAGCAACCTCACACTCCTGGGCTCAAGCGATCCTCCTGCCTCAGCCTCCCAAGTACCTGGGACTACAGGCATGCGCCACCATGCCCAGCTAATTTTTTCTATATATATTAGTTGGCCAATTAATTTCTTTCTATTTATAGTAGAGATGGGGTCTCGCTCTTGCTTAGGCTGGTTTCGAACTCCTGACCTCGAGCAATCCTCCCACCTTGGCCTCCCAGACTGCTAGAATTACAGGCGTGAGCCACAGTGCCGGGCCAGAGAGCTTAAATGTGGCCTAATGAAGCTGTATAGACACTCAGTGCAGGGTGACTCCTTGAAAGAATGTTCCATACAATCTAATAAGAAAAGGTAGAAATAAGTAAGGGAATTCTTGTTTTCTAACTGAATTTTTAGTATTTTTAATACGATTATTCTAAAGTAACAATGCTCACAGCAAATGTGTGTTTATTTGGTGCTTGGCATGGTACCAATAGCCCTTCCTGTTGTTTAACCCTTCTAACCACCCTAGGGGGTAGTAGTGGTCATTATTGCCCCATTTTGCAGATGAGAAAACTGAGGCTCAGGGGTGTTTAGCGACTTGCCCAAGTGAGTGGTGATTAGCAGTGGAGATCAGCCCTGTCTGTTCTAGGAGGCTGAAGTTCTCTTCCAGCCCCTCAGCACCTTAGTCTCAGCACCTGGGGGTCTGTGGGGCTGGTGAGATCCCACAGAGCTGTCTTGGGAGGGGCATGCCCACTTTGGGTCTGCCATCCTGCCCTGAGACATACTTTCCCCTCCTGTGGCAGGTGGCTCCAGGGCGGTCCTGGGGAGAGCTGCCTTTCCTTGGAGAAAGTGGCATTGGGACTTGGTGGGGCAGAGTCTGACCTGGGAATGGGAGAGAAAAGTGGGGGAGGGCAGCAGGAAGCGGGCAGTGAGGGTGAGGGGCAGGCTGGGCCAGCAGGGCCATGGGGAGCTGAACTGTGGATCTAGGGGCTGCTGCTCTACCTGCCCTGAGGCCTATTGATATTTACTTGGCATTTCAATGGGAGCAGATCTGGCTGGGCTGGGCCCTTCCCTGTCACTGCAGGTGTGTGTATGATTGTTCCTACACCTGTGACCTCCTGGGCGTGTCAGTGTGTCTGTCTGCCCTGGGTTCTGTCTGTGATTGCCTGTGTGTCAGTGAGGGTTTGTGTGTCCAGGCTGTGCCGGGGGTGGATCTGTGTGTCTGTGTGTGTCCATATGTCCGGCTTGTGGGCCAGTGGTTCAGGGAGTGGCTGTGGGTTGAGACAGGTATGGTGTTCAGCCTGTGTCCATCTGTTTGTATGTCTCTGTGTGTGTGTGTCGCATGGATAGGTTGTGTGTTTCCGCTGTCTGTGTTATGGTATTCAGGTGTGTGCTGTATGTACAGATGGCGGTCTGCGTCTGTCTCTGTGTACGGCCTTGCGTCCCGCGAGTGTCTGCACTGTGCGTCACCGTCTCCATGTGTCCCTCTGTCCGTGTGTCCTCCACTCAGGCCCTGTGTCTGCGAGTCTGTGTTCCAGTCCGGGTCCAGCTTTGCACGGCCAGCAGGGGCCTGGCCACGTAGTTGCTACCCCCCGCCTCGCACCCGTCCGTTTGTCCGCGTGTCGTCCTCGGGCGGGGCGGGGCGCAGGGGGGAGGCCAGGGGAGAGGAGGGGGTCTCTCCACCTCTCCACCCACCCCCACTCCCTCAGTCCCGGGATCGAACCTTATTTAGAGTCGCGATTCGACATCTGTTTTCAAATTTGATCAGCTCTGAACTTTATTTTCCGAGTTTGAGGAAAATTATATTCCATCGATCGCGCTCCCGCCCCCTCCCCCGCACCGCCCGCCGCCGCCGCCGCCGCCTCCATATATCTGCGCGCCGAGCGGGGCCGGCGGCCGCGAGGGCGGGAGGCGCGCGGGCGCCGAGGAGGAGCAGAGGGAGGAGGAGGAGGAGGAGGAGGAGGAGGAGGAAGAGGAGGAAGCGCAGGAGGCAGGGCCGCCCCGCGCCCCGCGCCGACCCCGCTGCCCGGGCGCCCGCCCGCGCCGCGCTCACTGCGCTCCCGCCCGGAGCTCGGTCCTCTGCTTTCCGCGTCTGCATCTCTCTGCGCGTCTCTGTTTCGGTGTCTCTCCCTCTCTCTCTGCATCTCCCTGTCTCTGCTCGCCCCCGTCTCTGTCCCCTTGGCTGTCTCTCTGGGTCTCTCCCTGGCACGGTGTCTCGGAGACTCCCTCTCCGCGTCCTCTTATCCCCGTCCCCCGGGTCTCCGGGCGTCTCCCCCCGCCCGCCCCCTGCCCCGGTGCCCCCTCCCCAGGACGCCTTGGGGGCCATGGCTGCGGGATCCGAACTTTAAACACTTCTCCGGGACCGGAGCGGATGCGCAAATCCCAGAAAGTGAGTGAGCGCCGCGGGCCGGCGCAGGGGCGGGGATGGGGGGCGGGGATTCCTGCCCGAGGCGGGGGCCGGGGCGCGGGAGGTGGTCTCGGGAGACCTCGGGAGCTGGGCTTGGGGAGCGGGAGACGCGGAGGCCAGGGGGTCACCAGCCCCGGCTGGGGGGGCGGGATGGGGCTGCGCCCAGTTCTGGGGAGGTGGGAGGGGGACAGCGCTGGAGGGGCGGCCTCGAGACGGGGGTGCGATGCGGGGAGGGAGAGTGTGTGACAGCGACCAGGATGGGGTCGGCGAGAGACTGGGGTCTGAATATTTGGGAATGGGGGCTGGCGGGCCGACCTGAGGGTGTGTCTGGATATTTGGGACTGAGGAGTCTGGATATTTGGGGCGAGGGTCCGGGTGGGGTTTAGAGGTCAGGGCTGAGGGCTTGACTGTTTGGGACCTGGGGGCTCAGAACCAAAAGACTGGATATTTGGGGCTGAAGACGTAGATATTTGAGGTTGGGAGTGACTGTCTGGGGTCAGGACTGGGGATGTGGATATTTAGGATTGGGGTAGGCATGGGGCTTTGGATTGAGGGAAGCCAGGAAGTCTGGACTTGGAGTTGGAGTTCAAGGCTGAGGGTCTGCAAATTTGGATCTGGGTATTTGGAGTCTGGCTATTTGGTATGAGGGGTCACAGGGTCTGTGGGAAGGACATCTGGCCAATTCTGGGGTCTCCCCACTTTGTGGCAGGGAGCACAGGCCTGGCCCTGACCTTGGAGGGGTTGTGTTCCCCTGGGACACCCTTTCTGTCTGTCATTCCACCACTGTCAGGGCCCTGCTGGACCACCTCTGCCATCTCTCCCCTGGCTAGGTGTCTCCTCACTGCCTCTCTGTCTCTGTCTCTGACGGTGTCTCTGTGTCCACCTCAACTCTCCCAGGATTCTCTCTCACAGCCTCTCCTCCACCTCTTTGGGTTCAACTCTTAAGACTATTTCCCCCCAATCTCTGTGCCTATGTCCCTCCATCTCTCTCTCTCTCAGTATCTCTCTTTCTGCCTCTCAGTCTCTGCCTCTCTCTGTCTCTCACTGTCTCTCCATCTCGGTCTCTCCCTGCATCTCTGTCTCTGTCTCCCCCTCGCTGGTTTCCGCTCAGATTAAGCCGGGGACCTAATTCCAGGCCCAGGATCGAATTTTCTGGCAACAAAGGGAAATAGCGAATCGATCGGTCGCTCCGGAGATTAAGAGACAAGCGGCGCGCGGATCTATCACGGCTAAACGGCCCCCCCGCCCGCTCCCCCCGCCTGGCCGGCCCGCCGAGGCCCAGACGCGCTGCGCATCGCCAAGCAGCCTCAGGAGCCTCGGCTGCCGGCAGGCTGGGCCTGGCTGAGCCAAGAGCTAACTGCGTGTCCTGCGGAGCGCAGGAGCCCTGGGAGGGACCTGAGAGCTGGAACTGGTCCCCAGGGAGGGGAGGAGAGGGAAGCAAGAGAAACTGAGTCAGCAAACCACTCGGCAGAGTCACGCTTCACACACCTGTGGCCTCAGGTAACACCTTTCACTCACACCTGTTTATCAACATACCTGTCACATCCATGTTTCCCCTTCAGCTCCCCACATCTGGACCTCCAGGTAGAATTTGTCTCCCTATACCTGTCCCCTGGCGGTAACAGCTGTCCTCCACACCTGTTTCCTTTATCGGCCCCTGTAGGTAACACCTATTTTCTCTCACATGCCCCTCCAGGTAACACTTGTCCCCCTCAAACCTACCCTAAAGATGTCTGTGATTTTTCAGGTAACATATGTCCCCTTTTACCTGCTCCTCCAGGTAACAAATGTGACCCTTCCCACCTGAATCCCTGCATCTGTCTCTTTTCATGCCACACTGTCCCCTTCCTACCTGTCCCTGAACCATCCCATCTGTCCTCTAATGCTCTAAACACACCTGTTTCTCACACATCGCTATTTCGTCACCTCTCCCTTTCCTCAAGGACGTAGTACCTGTTCACCACACACACACACACACACACACACATTCTCACACTCGCACTTTTAAACTTTTAACCTGTGCCACTCAGGTAGAGCGCAGGCCCTGCCCACCCTCCTGGCTCCCACCCATTCTTCTCCCTTATAATGCTGCACCTCCCCCTCCACCCCTACCGAATCCTTCCAGAAGAGCTTCCAGCACACACCTGCTGCTCACACTACTCTCTGCCTCATTCCACAGAAATTGCCAACTTCATTCAACTCCAACACAGTGCCCCATACCTGTCCTTCCTGCTTGTCTTGCAGGTAACTCATCCCAGAAAACAGAGGCACCGTCTTCATCTATGTCCTAACACATCCACTGATCCCTGGGTGTCGTGCACAACCTCCTTCCATAGATCCCTCCTTGGCCACAAGCCTCCCCACAAGCCCTTGTCCTCTGAGTCCCACCTGCACACCTGCTACTTGCCCGGGTCTGACTCTTCCTCACTCTGTCTCTGCCTTTCCTGGTCTCCCACTTCACACATATACAGGTTTGGACAGGAAGTGCATCCTTGGCCACAGGTATCTGCTTTACCTGTATACCGGTTTCTCCACATCTGTCCCCCAGGTACTATCTGTCCATGTCTCTTCTTTTTTTCCTTTCTCATGTTTCTCACTTCCTCTTTCCTTTCTGCCCAAGGTCACACCAACACCTCCACACACCTGCCATTGCTCACCTGTTTACTTCAAGCTTCCTCTGCTCAGGTGCACATACATTCGCTTCTTCAGCAAACAGGTAGTGAGATCTCCACACACCCCACGCCCCCCTCCTTAATCTCTCTTTACATGTCTTCAGCCGGATCTCTGCCACACTCCTGTCCTTAGCAACCTGTGCCCAAAGGGGACTGCTCCTCCTGGACACAGCCCTGCCCCACAGACAGGAACCTGGCCCCCTACTTGGCACCAGCTCGCTCCTTTTACTCCCCCCAAACATCCACACGATGCTTGTCCCTTCGCCCCTTTTGTGAGCATCATCAACCCACTGTCCACCCCCAACTGCCTCATTCTCTATGTTCGTCTTCTTCGCTAACTATCCCTGCAACCTGTCTCTCCCACACCTTTAGGACCTGAAGGTTTTTCAGATCCCTCACACCTGTCTCCAGCCTGCTTTTCTCCAGAAACACCTATCCCTGTTCATAGCACGTGTTTCCAACCAGCTATCTCCTCAGGGAACGCCTCTCTCCGTGCACACAGTAACACCTGTAGCGTGTGTTAACACACGTGACACCTGCTCCTTGCGCCATACAGAATCCCTCAAGTCCAAGTTCCCCAACTTCAGCATTGGAAACACCTGGTGGGCTCCTTAGAGCGCAGACTCCTGGGCTAAGGTCTGGGACTGGGGCAGAGCCTGAGGGTCTGCATTGCGGAAGTGCTCCCCACCTGTTTCACCAGGGGACGCCTGCCCTCCCCCATACATACCAACATTGAGGAGGAGGAGGCAAAGGAGGAGGAGGGGGGGAGGGGGAGGGGGAGGACTACAACACCTCCAGACCCTGTGACCTGTGACCAGCGCTGTTTAAGATCTTCACACCTATTGTCCCATTGGTCCTCAAGGGACCCCTATAAGGCAGGCATTTAACGCTTATCCCCATTTTACAGAGAAGGAAACTGAGCCCAGAGAACTTCTTTGCGATCCCAGAGACTGGTAGATATTGGAGAAGTGGGTCTAACCCGGGCCATCTGATTTTGGAGACTGCTCTCCTGTCGTCCAGGTGTCCCTGCCTCCCACACCTGCCCACCAGACATACCTGTCCACCTAGTGACTGTGGCAGCACTTTCTTCGCCATCACTGCCTGGGTTTGTTCCCCCAGGGACTCCTGGGGCCAAGGCTGTCATTGCATCCTCCCCCACCTGCCCCCAAGCCCTGCGGAGCCAGCAAAGCCCCTCCCAGCACACACCTGCCTCCCCCCACGCCCTGGCCTCCTGCAGCCCACCCCCCCCACCTTCTTTCCTTCCCCATCTCCACATCCCCTCCTCCGCTGGGCTCTGCCTGTCTCTGAGTATCTCCTTGTCTCTGTGTCTCTGTCTCTTCTCCATCCCTCTGTCGCATTCTCCTTTTTTTTTTGCCTTTCTCAGTCTCTCTCTGTCTCTCTTGGTTCTCTGTCTCTGTGTCTCTGCTTTTCTCCATGTCTCTGTATATCTCTCTGACTCCGTTTCTCTGTACCCTTCACTGTCTCTGTCTCATTCTCTGTCTCTTTCCCCTTTTCTGTCTCTGTCTCTTGCTTTCTCCCCTAACAGTGCAAGTACTGCAGGGCTTGACGTGGTACTGCCCTGCGTTCAAGTCCAGCCTCCACCACTCACCCCTGAGGGACTTTGGCCACGTCACATGTCACGTTCCCTGTCTGAGCCTCTGTGTCCACATCTGTGAAATGGGCACCTCGGCGGCGGCATGTCCTATCTCCCAGGTGGTGAAGAGGATGGGGTGCTGAGGGAGGGAAAAGGCCGGGTCAGAGCGGGGCTGAACCTCCCTCTGCGGGTCCCCCTCTGGTCCTGCCTTGCTCCAGTGCTGCCACCCGCCTGGCTGTCAGTGGGAGAGAGTGCGCGCGGAGGGGACGGAGGGAGCGGTGGGCAGAGGCATCCCAGCCAGCCCAGGCCTGGGCATGGGACCCGGTGTGGGGCTGGGGACAGGGATCGATCCGCCTCGGCGGCAGTGCGCGGGCCAGGATTGCATCTTGTCACAATAATTTATTGCTCTCATCCCGTCTGATCGATGGCGCTGAATTAGCACCGCGCCTGATGCCCCTGGAGCCCTAGCCTCCCCAGCCGGCCGGACCCTGGCCCGCACGGGATCCCCGCAGCCGGGGCACCCAGCTCCAGCCGCTCCCGGGCCCTGGGGCCTTGTTCGCTGCCTCTGCCTCCTGCTTCCTGTCCCTCCTCGAGTCCAGACCCGCCCCTGTTCCCACTCTCTGCCCCTCACCTGCGCCCTCTGGGGGTCTTGGCCCCTTTTCTCTGTTCCTCCTTCTCCCTAACCCTCAGTCGCCCGCTTCTCCCCATTTTGCCCC